CTAGCATGAAATCTCTGAGACCTGAGGGAGATCAAAGTGCTTTTCTGCTCATTACTGGGCAGCATCCCCCCTGTGACAGCCCCTGCCCACCCTCCAGCAGTTGTGTGCTTTGACGGTTTCTGTTCCCGGGAGTGAGCTGGGTGCTGATCACACGCCTGCTCCGGGCAGTGGAGCAGAAGCCACCAGGCAATCACAATTACACCAAATCACTCCATTCCTATTGCACCTGCTCACAGCAAGGGGGGCTCAGCCAGGGCTGTCACCTCCTGCCCACCCATCCTCGTGCACTGTTCTGCAGCCGTGCCTGAGCTTTTGACCCAGTGCGATACAGCCCCGCTCCCGAAACAGCCCCGAAATGGTTGTGCCTGGTGGTGGTGGTGGTGGATCCGGGTTCATCCTCCCCTGCATGCCCCCAGGTGCTGAAGTGGGTGGAAGAGGCCATCCAGGCCTCCAAGGTCCACTTGCTGTCCACGGACCATGAGGACGGCGGGGAGCACACGTGGCCGGTCCCCTTTGACCCTAGCCTGAAGGAGGTCACCATCTCCCTGAGTGGCCCTGCCCCGGGGATTGAGGTCCGGGATCCGGCAGGTAGGAGCCCAGGAGAGGGGAACAGGCAGGGGGTGATGCTTTGCCTCACAGAGAGCCCTCATGTCTGGACAATTGGGAGGCTGCAGGCATGGGGATCTCTAAACCCTGAGCTGAAAGCTTAAATGAAGGAGCAAAGAACTGCAAAGCCCTCATTAAGCACCAAGTGCATCTGCTCTGCTCCCCTCCTTGGCTGGCTTTCCCTCTGGTTTTAGGAGAGTTTTCTCTGCTGCGGGTGATGCTTTGCCTCACAGAGAGCCCTCATGTCTGGACAATTGGGAGGCTGCAGGCATGGGGATCTCTAAACCCTGAGCTGAAAGCTTAAATGAAGGAGCAAAGAACTGCAAAGCCCTCATTAAGCACCAAGTGCATCTGCTCTGCTCCCCTCCTTGGCTGGCTTTCCCTCTGGTTTTAGGAGAGTTTTCTCTGCTGCGGTGGCTGAGCTGAGCTGGGCTCTGCATCGCCGTGAGTCCCGAGAGAGGGGGCTCCTGGCCAGCTGCAGGGACCAGGGGATGGACCCGAGTTTCCTGTCCCAGAGGTTCACTCGCTGTTGCAGGAAAGGTCCTCGAGAAAGGCCAAGGTCTGAAGGAGCTGCTCAGCATCCCCAACTCGGCCATGGTGGTGGCCGTGGAGCCCCACGAGTCAGGGACCTGGTCGGTCACGGTAGGCTGGTGGCAGGCTCTGCACATCCCCTGCCCACCCTCTGAAGGATATTCAGCCAGCCAGGCTCTGCCAGGCGTGGGCTTGCTCCCGTCCACGTCCAGCTGGGCAGAGGACGTGTGAGCAGGCTGGAAGGGGCCAGCTGCTGCCTCCTCCCTTCCTCATCGCCTTCCCCTGCCCTTGGGCATCCCTCTCGCTCCACTTCCAGACCCAGAGCAGCGGCCGCCACTCCCTGAGGATCACAGGCATCAGCAACATTAATTTTCAAGCCAGCTTCTCCACCCAGCCGGAGTTTGATGCCAGCCAGCCCAGCGAGCGGCCGGTGCAGGGTGAGGCCGGTGCTGCCCCAGGGCATGGATGCTGTGTCTGGGCTTCTCGAAGCCAGGAATGTGGCTGGATTGTTTCTTTCCTTCCCTCTCTCCAGGTCTGCCCATTTCCGTGGTGGTGAACTGCACCGGTCTGAAGCCGCCTGGGCGCTTGCAGGAGATCGAGCTCTTCAACACCTCTGGTCATGCACTCCTCTCTTTGCCTGCAAGGCCCCTCTCCAACACCTCCTCGGGGCAGCTCTGGGTGGGCTCCCCACTCCGTGTCCCCCCGGGCGACTTTCTGCTGAAGGTGAAGGGCGAAGATGCCCAGGGGCACCCCCTGCACCGCCTCTCTGGGGTCACCTACACCAGCGTGGTCCCCGGTGAGTGCTCCCCATGCTCCCCAGGGTGCTGAGAAGGATCCAGAGACTCCAGCACCACCTCTGCTGGGGTTTCTGCTTGGGTATTTTCTTGTCCTGCTTCCCAGTGCAGCTATTGGTGAGCTCCCGAGGACCGTTCTATGTGTTCATGTCCCCAACTACTTCCAGGTCTACCCAAAGTGAACCTCTCCAGCAAGATCCAGGCTTACAACCGCGAGCCGCAGCTGATCTCCTGCTCTGGATGGAGCGAGGTCCCCTTCCGCCTGCAGCTCAGCCGGGGTAGGATGAAGCTCGGGGAAGAGCAGCTCTTCAGGTGAGTCTCTGGTCTGGCCCAGTGGGCTCCATGATGGACCCGTGTGGGTAGCAACAGCCCCCTGAGCTGTGCTGGCTGGGTGCCTGCAAGTTCTGAGCATCCCAAGGCAGCAGAGGAAAATCCTGAAATCTGCGGGGTGTGGGGTGCAACCCTTTGCCTGACTCAGATGGAGAAACGTCCCAGGGATTTGGAGCAGGGTGGTGGCATGGCAGCCCCAGGGCCGGGGTGACCCTGCAGTCTCTCCCTTTTTGTAGGAGTTCGGGGAACACCAGCTGGTTGATCCCTGCGGTGTCCAAGAGTGACGAAGGGTTTTACGAGTGCACTGCCACGAGCAAGGTCGGGGTGACACGGGCTCGCACCTACGTCTCTGTCTCAGGTGGGGGCTGCTCGTGCCAAGCCTCGGTGCCCACGAGTCTCCAGGTCTGTGGCTGAGCACGGGCTCATCGCACCCTGGCATGGCACTCTTGCAGAGCCACCACCGCGTCTCATAGCCCCAGGCAACATCACGGCTTCACCGGGCCAAGATGTGGTCATGTCCTGCCCGGTTCTCAGCG